ATGTTGCTAAGACTATTGTGCTCCTTCAGTTGCTAACTTGTTGTTCAGGGGCAAATATTAAAAGAGCTGCTGCAAAAATGCTGATGGACAGGACTTTCTGGTCACCCTGTAGTTTCACGATCCAGAGGTCTCTAGCAATTCAACTGAACCGGTGCTAAGGGACAATCATTCTAACCGTAACAGAAGTTCCATTACCTCCGTCAACGGAGGTCCACCTCCTGCCAGCGATTTCCATTTTGTGCTGAAGGTGATCGCTGGCTCCCGTTTTAGCCTTTCCGCGCCACATTCCACTCACTTTAAATCCACCCTTTGACGAGCGACATGTACAGGGTGACCAGAAGGTTCGGAGACTTGTAAAATTTTAAAGCTTTTTTCAAGTGTGAGGCTTCATTTCTTCCACGAGTCTAGCTCTAGGCTTAATCTTTTTGCATCGCAAATATGACTCCTCCCGGTGCAGATATGGCATCGAAACCCAGCCGAGAAGCTGTGATTTACATGTTTCAGCAAGGTCATTCACCTGCAAAGATCATCAAGGAGCTGAGACACGATCCACTGTGTACAAAGCCATTGCCCGCTACAAGGAACTTGGTACAACTCAGGATCTACCCAGAAGTGGCCGTCCCAGTGTCTTCAATGATCCTGATTTTCGAAAGCGTGTCAAACAGCTTCTTGATCGAAACCCGTAACGGAAGTGCCGAAGTCTTGCAAAGCACTTGAAGATCAAGCGCGAAACTCTCCGCTCCTATCTTTAAAAGAAGTTGGGCATTTTCCCTTTCAGCAAAAGAGTAGTTTAGGTGCTTACGAAGAAGAACAAGGAAATGCGGAAGCGAAAATCAAGGAAACTATTGGGTGAGATTCAAGCGAAACTCACACCGTCGGATCGTGTTCTCATGAAAATGTTCATACAGTTCAGCTAGCGTTTAATCCCCAAAATGATCGTGTCTGGGCCAGAAAAGGGTCCAGAGTCTTGTCAGAATCTCGGTTTGTGCAAAGAATGCAAAAACCCCAGTAGATGAAAATGTTCATACAGTTCAGCTAGCGTTTAATCCCCAAAATGATCGTGTCTGGGCCAGAAAAGAGTCCAGAGTCTTGTCAGAATCTCGGTTTGTGCAAAGAATGCAAAAACCCCAGTCTGTCATGGTCTGGGGTGGCATTACAGCCGACGGTAAAACACCGTTGCATTTTGTGGCTCCTAACATCAAAATCAATGGCAATTACTATCAAAATGATGTTCTGAAGAAGGTTCTCTATCCTTGGGCAAGGGATAATTTTGGGGATTCTTCCTGGACATTTCAACAAGACAATGCCCCAGCTCACACCAGCCGGTCAACAAAAGAATGGTGCGTGCACGAGTTGCCAGATTATATTGGTCCAGAAGCTTGGCCCTCCTGCTCCCCTGATTTAAATCCGATGGACTATAGTATCTGGTCCTTTTTAGAGGCAAAGGTCTGTGCTACTCAGCCGAAAAATTTGGACAGCCTCAAGTCAACTTTGCGGAAAGCATGGGACGAAATCCCTGTGAAACAGCTGCGAGAGGTGGACAATTTTCCAAAACGCCTCTGAAAAGTTATTGCTGCCAATTGGGGCTATTTCGAAGATGTTCAACTCATTTTGAAGGTTTTCTTATGTTTTTTCTAATGAAATTAAAAAAAACATGTATTGTTCTTTATGGCATCGGGATATTGGTATTTTTGAGTGTCTCCGAACTTTCCAGTCACCCTGTATTTGGTGAACACGATCAGGAGACCCATAAATCTCCGGCAAGAGTGCTCACCAGGATCTACCCCAATAGATACAATCCTTTTCAGTTTATTCACTGCATGCTATTCAAAATGTCACTGCATGCAATTCAAATGTCTTGTCATGGAGGAGTTCGTTGACGTGTTTCTCACAAATGTGTCAATACTACAGCTCTGTGCTTGACGGACTACCCGAAGATCGAGCATGCGGCAGAATCTTTCCATGGTTGGACCGGTAAGTATCCAGCCCCGCGTGGAGGAATAGTGAACTTCTCTTGCAAGCACCCGCGGGGGTTCAAGGATGGGCGGATGGACCACCAGGCCACAGGTTCCTCCTCCGTAGCTGATACCTGGTGCGCGACGTTCATCGAAAATGAAAAGGATCTCTGTCCTCCTCCACGTGAGCACGACTTTCACTTCGTCAAGGTAGACACATGTGAAGATGTGATCACGCCTGGATCATCAAGCCGCATTAGTAAAATGACGAGAAAAAAGGGCGATTCTTGCAATAACGTCGTAAGCGAACACAAGGTTTATGAGGATGAGAAGAGATCCCTGTGGGAGAGATATGGGGATTAGTCCGTATGCATCGCAAGAAGCACCGGAATATCGATGTATATTCAACGAAAGTCTCATTTAAGATGCTGACAACATGCAATGAAGTAATCTGTAAACCAATTCTCAATGACCATCCTTTTTTTTATAGGACTAATAATTGCTACGGGACAATTAACCCTATATGTGTGAATCCCTGGTCTTCGAGACATCTCGATGAGGACGTGTATCGTTATGCCAATCACAAGTATTTCCATACTTTCACTAACGATTTCAGAGAACCTGTAACGTTAGAGGCCTGTTTTGAATTTCATTGCGTACATAGAATAGTAAGATATCTGGAATTTCACGATCAACCTCTACTAGATCTGAGGAGAGTATGCCTCCATGAAGCATGAAATCCATGATGCCCACAATTCTGCTACTTTCAGGGATGTTCGGATGAGATTTCTCCATAATACACCACATCGATTGGCCTTTGCTAACCCCCGTTTCATTTTCAGCTCAAATAATGTACTCAGCAGAAAAATATCCAGAATCCAAATAAAGCGGAAGATCCAGACATTGATTCTAAGGCTGATGAATTCATGAATTTGACAACTTCGGCAAGATATCCGACAGCACTGGGGAAGAGGACCGGAGCAAGCACGCTAATATTAACCAAAAAAAGCTAATTTCCTTTCTATTGGAAAATGGAGCACCACAAACCACAAAAAGGGCCATTGTCGTGCACTACAATCAATGTCTTTCTTTTTGTCGGTCTCTTTTCTTCGAAACCCCTCTTCCCACCCAGGAGTGGGTACCCATGGGGTAGAAAAGTGATATAAAAAAGGAACCAAATTCTCACATTCAGGAACTCCAGATTCAGCTTTTTCCACAACCCCAAGAAATGGAGCTTCAAATTTTTTGGAGAGCTTCTCTACTGAGTGGAAGAAGCATGTTGACGTTGATGCTCTCAGAGAAGAATGCGAGGAGGTCCAATTCTTTTATGGGAAGAGATTAAACAAAAGTAATATGCGCTGTCATCTACTGTTCAGGTTTATTTTTTTTAGGTAATTTTTTATTTCACCCTTTTCTTTTCATTGAAGCCATATGGCATCGTGACCTTCATCGAATTTTCCTGAACTTTATATTTTATAGCTTAGAGATTTTATAGAGTTTTCCGAAGAAAGAGCAGGAGTTATAAACCGTCTTGCGAAATCTGAACAGGAGCTCATCATCCTAAAAATTGAATGGCGTGTTGGAAAAAAGGAGAACAAAGAGGCTGATGAGCCTCATGCCTCTCAGAATGATGGTGACAGAAAAGTAGTGGAGTGATTCCCCAACTGATGAAGCCCCATAAGATCCTGATGAATATTGCGAAAAGAGGTTATATGAAATTTCACAACTTTCTTTTTTCTATAAGAAACTCATGTGACCTTTACATATAATTCTCATGAGAATTCAAAATTTAATAAAATTTTTAAATCTTATATATACGATATTTCATGGAAATATCATCATGCGTTTGATTTGTGAGAAGAAATATTGATTTGCGTGATCTGGATAATTGGGGAAAGGAGCACTTGTAGCCTGAAAAAAGGGGTTATCATATTACTCCCGCATTTGGACGATAGGTTTAATTAGTATTCCGAATGGAATTGCATTCAAATGACGTGATTTGCAGATTCGTGCGTGACCCAGTACCCCAGCATGGAGAACGCCATCGTGACATACGACGGATGGGACGGGAAATACCCAGCACCTCCAAGTTGCCGCATCATCTATACCTGCCCTAAGCCCTTAAGGTTCAATGACGGGTCGGACATCCACAATGCCACCTGTTCCTCTCGGATCGATGGCGCCTGGGACAGCTCCTTTCACGACAGGCATGTTCGATGCCAAGGTAATTCACTTCACTCACCAAAAATCCTCATATGAGAATCCCTTTTTTATATTCTGACCCAATCGAATGAAATCCGATGCCCTTCAATGGAATCGTTCAGGGATTCCATGTGTAATGGTGCTTTATTGGTTTCCTAGAGCAATAGAGTTCTCTCCCCCTCACACGTTCAGAAGATCCCGCCCGCAGAACAGTTTTACCCTCTTTTTCAGGGCATTCTGAGAACACNTACTTTCACTAACCATTTCAGAGAACCTGTAACGTTAGAGGCCTGTTTTGAATTTCATTGCGTGCATAGAATAGTAAGCCAATCTGGAGTTCCACGATCTACCTCTACTAGATCTGAGGAGAGTATGCCTCCATGAAGCATGAAATCCATTATGCCCGCAATTCTGCTACTTCAGGGATGTTCGGATGAGATTTCTCCATAATACACCACATCGATTGGCCTTTGGTAACCCCCGTTTCATTTTCAGCTCACATAATGTACTCAGCAGAAAAATATCCAGAATCCAAATAAAGCTAAAGATCGAGACACCGATTCTAAGGCTGATGAAGTCATGAATTTGACAACTTCGGCAAGATATCCGAGAGCACTAGGGAAGAGGACCGGAGCAATCACGCTAATATTAAACGAAAAAAGCTCATTTCCTTTTTATGGCGAAATAAGGAGTGACTACCCATGGGGTAGGAAAGTAATTTAAAAAGGAACGAAATTCTCATATTCAGAAACTCCAGATTCAGTTTTTTCCACAACCCCAGGAAATGGAGCTTCAAATTTTCTGGAGAGCTTCTGTACTGAGTGGAAGAAGCATGTTGCCGTTGATGCTCTCAGAGAAGAATACGAGGAGGTCAAATTCTTTTATGGGAAGAGATTAAACAAAAGTAATATGCGCTGTCATCTAGTGTTCAGGTTTATTTTTTTTAGGTAATTTTTTATTTCACCCTTTTCTGTTCAATGAAGCCATATGGCATTGTGACCTTCATCGAATTTTCCTGAACTTTATATTTTATAGCTTAAGGATTTATGACAGTCATGAAGTATATTTTAGTTGCGTGTTTTCTTTAACACTGGGACGAAAATAAAATAATTTTGGCTGCTCCTGGCTTCTGTCGATCGTAATATTTACTTGACTCTCAACACACAACTGCTATTCATAAGTCATGAAGTATATTTTAGTTGCGTGTTTTCTTTAACACTGGGACGAAAAGAAAATAATTTTGGGTGCTCCTGGCTTCTGTCGATCGTAATATTTACTTGACTCTCAACACACAACTGCTATTCATTCGGATTGGTGAATACTTTTCCTCATATGAAGTAAATGTTAATATATTTTAGGAAGGAATTCCTCAAAATCTGTAGTCTGAGGTTAGACTTTCATGTTTGAGCTTTCAGTTAGCCTTGGCTTCAGAGTAATTTTAATCATGGCGGAAGTACTTGTGACGCGATATCGCGTCATCTGGCAATATCAAGGCATGAAATATGTGCATCCATATATACATGAGATTTTACGACGCTTATAATTTTTCAGATTAAATGCTAATCCGCATCTGAATAGAAGTCTTCACTTGATCGACATGAGGGGTTACTTTCCAATCACCCTATGAATGCAACTTCATCCTGTGCCGAAAACCCCAAAGACCTCGGATATTTCAGTAGAGTCTGCATCCTGAATCCTTGTGTATTACCTAATGCCGCTCGAGGACCGCAATAAAGGGGATCAGCAATTGTAAACTGAGTTAATTCAGAGACTCCATATTTTATTAAGGGGGTGGGGAGGTCGTAAAAAGGGAAGAAGTTGAGTTTAGAAAAGTCTCTTTATCCAAGTTCGACTACAAAAATCCACTACAAAAATTCCCCTTCCTCAGAATTATTGGTCTCATTTGTCACCATCGGCATTGACAATCATCTAATTAGCTTCATTACCCTTTGACTCTTGGACAGTCTACCACATGCACAATGATTCAGGATTACTGGGGGGAACTCGTTTGTTGCTGACACTGAGTTTTCCGAAGAAAGAGCAGGAGTTATAAACTGTCATGCGAAATCTGAACAGGAGCTCATCATCCTAAAAATTGAATGGCGTGTATGAAAAAAAGGAGAACAAAGAGGCAGATGAGCCTCATGCCTCTAAGAATGATGGTGACAGTAAAGTAGTAGAGTGATTCCCCAACTGATGAAGCCCCATAAGATCCTGATGAATATTGTGAAAAGAGGTTATATGAAATTTCACAACTTTCTTTTTTCTATAAGAAACTCATGTGACCTTTACATATAATTCTCATGAGAATTCAAAATTTAAGAAAAATTTTAAATGTTATATATACGATATTTTATGAAAATATCATCATACGTTTGATTTGTGAGAAGAAAGATTGATTTGCGTGATCTGGATAACTGGGGAAAGGAGCACTTATAGCCTGATGAAAGGGGTTATCATATTACTCCCGCATTTGGACGATAGGTTTAATTAGTATTCCAAATGGAATTGCATTCAAATGACGTGATTTGCAGAATCGTGCGTGACCCAGTACCCCAGCATGGAGAACGCCACCGTGACATACGACGGATGGGACGGGAAATACCCAGCACCTCCAGGTTCCCGCATCATCTATACCTGCCCTAAGCTCTTAAGGTTCAATGACGGGTCGGACATCCACAATGCCACCTGTTCCTCTCGGATCGATGACGCCTGGGACAGCTCCTTTCAAGACAGGCATGTTCGATGCCAAGGTAATTCATTTCACTCACCAAAAATCCTCATATGAGAATCCCTTTTTTATATTCTGACCCAATCGAATGAAATCCGATGCCCTTCAATGGAATCGTTCAGGGATTCCATGTGTAATGGTGCTTTATTGGTTTCCTAGAGCAATAGAGTTCTCTCCCCCTCACACGTTCAGAAGATCCCGCCCGCAGAACAGTTTTACCCTCTTTTTCAGGGCATTCTGAGAACACAAAATTTAAAATGATAATAGGTGACCTTTTCTAACAACAATCGGTGAGTTTCGTCCGAAAGCGACACAACTTTTGAATTCAAATATAAATGATTTCGATCGATTGCAAGGGATGCGTTTCGTCTGTAGGGAAACCCCAATCGCCTGTTCGCAAATGTTCAGCGAGTTCCGATTCGTAGCTTGAAAGTGAGATCCGTCGTTCTTATTTAGAAACGGCCCGGAAGAATAGAGGAATATTTTTTATCCTAGCGGAGATGTGGAGCGACTCGATAGGACCGACCTAATCCATCAGTCGTGATGGCAATCACGGTTTTCGGTCGGGTGCGAGTGAATGCGTAGTGTGAGACCTCGATTTATGAAGCTCATAGGACGAAGCGGCCTTTGGACCGGTCCTATAGGCGATCGAGTTTCAGGTCGAGTGGTCATGATATGTGAACACTTCGTCAGGGAAGGCGTACGGTATAATGACTTATTGTGAAAGTTTGACTTTATGGCCGAAAATGGGACGATTTTTTTAACTTTTGATTCAAGAAGTATCGCCTCTGGTCATGAGATTTCGATTGGCTCATGTAAGTCTGTTCGTTGTCTAGGAGGAGTCTCCCCTTAATGACATCCTGACACAGACATATTCCTCTCGTATGTATTATGTACTTGCGAATTTCTTTGCCCTTCAGTTAAACAAACTTGCTATGAACGCGCCTTCTGTGCCGTTAGCTTCATAAAATATTAATAATAATAATAATGCATTCGAAACATCCCTTTTCAATTCTCATTAATACAAATTGAGTAAAACTCCTTGTGTCATTAGGATTTTTTATCGTGAGTCTAAGCTACTCGTGCTTGTGC